TAATTATAACTGCTGTTAAATTCTTACTGTGCCTAATTTATAAATTAAACTTGATCATAGGTATGCATGCATAGGAAAAACACAGTACATATAGGAAAACAGGCATATCGTAATAGAGTTCAATTGTTTAATTAAAGGGTGATTTTTTTCCCCTTAAATATAAGGATACAGAAACCTTAGCAGTACTGTGTCCCCAAAACCGCAATACATACCAAACCATGGACAAACGGTATCATTACACCCCTAATGATAAGGTTGGCCCCTCTGTATGAATTATGGCCCCTCTTATACCCCCTACCTTAAAAAATCCAAGCACCACTCCTGTCCCAGTCTCCTCTCACATGGGAGCTAACGGTCTGCTTCCTCAGGCTGAGAATCTGCTCCTCGATGCTGACATGAACATCAAGATTGCCGATTTTGGCTTCAGCAACGAGTTCACTGTAGGGAGCAAGCTGGACACCTTCTGCGGCAGCCCCCCCTACGCGGCCCCCGAGCTTTTCCAGGGCAAAAAGTACGACGGTCCTGAGGTGGACGTCTGGAGCCTGGGGGTCATCCTCTACACGCTGGTCAGCGGCTCGCTGCCCTTCGACGGCCAGAACCTAAAGGTACTGTTTAGTCCGGCATCGTGACAGAGACTCAATTCATGCTCCATACTTTTGACACGTGCTGGTGTAGATTCGACCATGAAGGTCCAAACGTCTGGACCTGCTGGTCACTGGTGTAACTTTTCTCTGGAAGTACCCTTTGTTAAATCTGCTCTTTAATAGTCATTACCTGTGGCTACGCAAACTGCATCAGATCTGTTGGTCTGCAGGAGTTGCGGGAGAGGGTTCTGCGGGGAAAGTACCGCATCCCGTTCTACATGTCCACCGACTGCGAGAACCTGCTGAAGAAGCTGCTCGTGCTGAACCCGGTCAAACGAGGGAGCCTGGAGGTGAGTTGGACACTCCTTCACTTCAGCATCTTGCCCCAGCCATTCCTCCAAGCCAACTACCATGACAAAGAACTGCGCTGCCCATCTAAGCAGGACGCTTCAAGGTATCAGCTCAATGTTTTATTCCGGAAACACTTTACAGGAATTGCAGCTGATAGGTGCTTGAAGTAATGGAATATCAAGAAATCTCTGATCTTGTCCTGTTGATTTTGTAGGAGTGGACATGATTTTCTGCTATCTGCAAACGTTCTCAGGATGCTTCATTTTCATTCGGCATTTAGTCTGTTTCTTAGAAGAGGAGAATGTTACCTCCAGATGTAGGCCGGTGAACAAACAGCTTGAATCTGTAGCTTCTACTGAGGTGGTCTCTCCTTCTGCAGCAAGTGATGAAGGACCATTGGATGAATGTGGGCCACGAGGAAGAGGAGTTGAAGCCATACCTGGAACCTGAGCCAGACTTCAATGATTCCAAAAGGATAGGTAGGCTGATTCAGTGTAGCGAAGACCCAATCTCACCTCAGACTCTGTGGAAGACCAAACCTGTTCTAATAAGTTAGACAATCAAACACCCAACAAATTCTCAAGATGAACCATGTCCTTCTCAGCCTTACGTTGCTGCTAAGGGGTATGCAATGAACAGTGCTCTTGTTCTTCTCTGCAGATCTGATGGTCACAATGGGATTCCCGAAAGATGAAATCACAGAGTCGTTAGTGGGCCAGAAGTACGATGAGGTCATGGCCACCTACCTTCTGCTGGGCAGGAAACCTCCAGAGGCAAGTTTATGCCATTTGTTCCTTAAGTCAACTCAGTGCAAAGGGCAAAGGTCATAGTTCAGAGGTTGAATGCTGTAGTAGGTATATGACACTCCTTTCTAGATTCTTCATGTCTCAATTGTTTCCATTGTTGACCTGACTTTGTTTGGTGCCCCTCTCACCCCAAGGTGATGGGAGAGGAGTAACAAGAGAAGATACTCCTAAACATGCCAGCAGCCCTCACAAACATGCTTATGTTCTACGGTTTGGTGCGGTCGCTGTGTCTGCTGCTGGAGCGCAGGCCTGCTTAACCGCTTGGAGGGCAGGCCTGCTTAACCGCTTGGAGAGCAGGCCTGCTTAACCGCTTGGAGAGCAGGCCTGCTGGTGACGTTCACTGCTTAAGACCTGTGCTGGAGTATGGAGTATCCTCCATTGCCCTTCACTGTCTGGTCTTAAAGATCTGCAGATATTTTGTTAGACGATGAATTATCCTGTTACTGGAGGTTAAACGCCACAGACCTGTTCAGTGAGGTTCTGTCTTCAGGGACCCTGAGGTCCAAATGGGAAGTCTTAACCAGTCTTTGTACCATTTATGTGATTTCTGTGTTTTCCACGCAAAATGACACGTTACGTTTTGTTGTTTTCCGGGGTCTCTAGTTCGAAGGGAGCGAGTCCCTGTCCAACAGCAACCTGTGTCAAAGG